TATTCCGAGGATTATATTGCAAAAGAAAAATAAAGAAAGTGATATATATTTTTAAGAAATTGTAACTTTGTTTTGTACGTTACTCAGTTACCCTGCCGCCTTAAATGTACATGCTCGTTAATTTTTAACTTCTCGTTCAATAACGAAATTTAAACATATAAACCGTGGGACTGTTAATATTTCTGAAAATAAAAGCGATTCATACAAATTATTTACTTAATCAAGTAATAAATATAAATGTTTAAGGAACAGCACATTATATATGTACACTTATAAAGAAAACTAAAAGTTAATATAAAATTTATATAATTCTGTAAAGCAGTCTTTCCAATAATTATTTTTTATCACTATCTACAATTCTGTTCATTCTAAAGTAACAGAGATCGACAGAAACTTTATCATGGACACAATATATTTTTAATAATGGAAAAAATGTTGACTGTATTCTATTTTAAATCAATGTATCTCAGGATAATTAAAACTTTAATGTATAGGTTTTAAAAAAATGTAAAAATGATAGAAATTTACAAAAAATCTTACTAAGTATTATAATAAAGTTCAAAATGAGATTTCTTATATTTTAAATCTTTTACGTAGCTAACAATAGTCATCGTGTAACAAAACGTCAATTTTTCAAACTGTTTTTCATGATACAATTATGTACAGCCATGTTTCTTCCACGCAGGTATTCATAAGAGATATTCCACATAACTAAACTGTTTGAATATTACCAAATTTCTCTACACACATGTTCACATTTTATACATTTCGTAATTCCGAATTTAAACGAAAACTGTTCATTTCTTAGCACTTTACATCCTCAATGTTTTTGATACTAATGGTTTCACCATTTGTTGACGATTTGGCGCACAGAAATCACACAGATAATTTTTCCTGTCTAACGGAACTCCCTTGGTCTCCACGCACCCTGTAAGAAAATGTTGAATATCAGTAATATTCATTTTATTTATCCACGTTAATCTATACGACTATTGGACACGATATCCCATTTTCATTTTTCCTACCTGTTCCTTGTAACAAAACATATATAATGAACCATGCAAATGCGATGACATGCAATGAAAAGTAACTAGCAGAATTGTATGGAATTTATGGCAGTACCTAAGTGCAGATATTTGTCACATGCGCTGCAATGCACTAGATTCGCTTCCAGGTCGAGTCTTGGGGCAGTATGACAGCGACTGCAGTGCGGGCAATAGCGACCCTTTCGCCATAGCCTTGTTATTGCATAAAGATTATGGTGTTAGTGAACATGGATAAGGATTCGCTGTAATACCAGACTTTAGCATGAGATAATCATTATGGCATTTCGAATTCTGGACTGGTTACACACGTGTACATTAATAATTCAAATACGAATGAATATGGATAATCATCACATTGATTATCATCCATTTATATGACCAGTGATTCTCAAAATCCAGGAATTCAAATATTATAACGTTGCACATTAGTTAAACAAATTTCGGAAGAGGAGTTCAGAATTTGGGATCAGGGATATTGTGAAGCGAAAATAAAGCCCCATGACAATTTGAAAATTTGCAATTTAGTATGTGTTCTCAGATTAAATTCTCACTCTTACATTTCACCAGACAAAGCAAACTCAATGTTTACTTACTTTGAACAGGGAACGCATAGCGTTGAAACATAGACACGAGTATTTTTGTCACCCTTTTTATATTCGTGCTGCCATTGTGCAACACTATTTCTATCAGAATTCGCACCACCGGGTTCTCTGGAACCACAGTTCGCGCAAACTGCACATTCTTGACAGTGCCACCTTCCTTGTGGTACTCGCCGAAGACCAACGCAATAGATATGATATCTGGAGAGAATAAAATATGAATTAATCATAAACATTTTTTAAATGTTTTTTTAATAAATAAAAGAACATACCCTCTATCACACATGTCACAGAAGAGCATTTTATCCTCGTCCGCTGGATCATGGCATTGTGCACAAGTTTTGCAGTCTGTGCATTGCCATGCATATGATTGAATGTGAGGAACCATGTCTAACGTTAAATCTATGCATGATGGATGAACTGCAATAAGAAGATTAAAACTGTTACTAAAAATCATTGAAAAATGAAAACATACTGATAAGATTATCTTTAAACTATTACCGTGTCCGCTGCACGTGCCACACTGTACTAATACTTCATTCTTACTGTGCTTATTTAAAGCTTTTAAACACATTTTACATTTTAGCTTTACTTCTTCTTTTTGATTCACTATCTCCATGTCGACATCGTCCATTGTGGACTGAGAACCTTCAGTGTCTTGTGTCCCCTCGCTAGAAGATGAACTATATAAAAAAATAGACAACAATTTTTTTTTACAAGAAGCATTAAAATCTAAATAATTTAAAATTATGAAACGAACCTCGAGTCGTCTGAAGATGAATCGCTATCACTGTCACTTTGAGATCCTTCTGATTGACTATCAAATTTACGTTCGTTTGGTCTCATTGGACCATATAGAACAGTATTCAATGGATAATATCGTAATTCAGCTGGCGTGTATTCACGATAATAATCTGTATATTGACCTGGTATCAATGCAACAGGGTAATGACCAATTTTACGTTCTGTCTCGACCTTCTGCTGTTTCTTTGGCACGTGTATCGTGAAGGTTTGTAAATCTAAGCTACATTTTCTGTTTTCTCTGCGAGCTTTGTTTAAACTTATGTTCCATGATAAGGCAGACTGAACTGCCATTTCTGCTAAATCAATTCTGTTCTTTTCTGCATTCGCAGCCGCAGATAATTCTTTTTGTTTCTTGGAATGTTCCTTCACTTGTTTCTCGCGCATATGTTTTCTATATTCTTCATACTGATCAGGGAAGTCACTGCACATTACATCTAATACTTCTGAACTACAAATAGCAGTTAAACCTGAAATAACATTTAAAAAGGTTTGTATAATATTCATAGTAATTATACATGGTTATAGAAGAAGTACAATCATTCTTACCCATATCACACATTCCTTCGCTAACCAAACCATTTTCTCTCAAATAATTTCTTTCTTCCATATCTACCACCCTACGCTTCAAATCTGGATATTTCCTCTTGAAAGACTTTACACCAAGGTATTGAGATATTTGTTCTTGTATCATGAAAGTTTCTCCCTTACGGTCAAGTGGCCATTCATACTCAGCTATTTTGTCGACAGTAAATGGTCCTTCGTCTGGATCAAAATTAATTTCCATCCTTCGATTCTTCACCTTCACCTTTTCTGACTCAGTAGTTGCTGTACTAAGTACACTTCCCTGGGACTCTTCGTTTACCATTGTTTCAGAAGCTACAACATGCATCATCAGAACGTAGTGTGATGATTATGAAAACATAACCAATTAAGATGTTATAATGTATATTTTACAATTTCAATTAAAATCTATAAATTATTTTAAAATAATGCATATAATTTAAATCAATTATGTCCAAGTACAACAATCAACATGTCAGAAAATAATGTCAATTGGCTCAATGTTACGATTAATAACAAATATCAATATTCCTTTGCTTATAAAGGGGAAATATGTAAAAAATATACACATTCTGAAAAACTATTTTGCTAACCATTGTGGCTTAGAAATTCTGTATACACCAACATCAATCATGGTTTGAAGTAGCAGCACATTTTGTCTTTGATTTAAATACAACTATTTCACATTTAGGTACTTGAGAGATGTTAGGACACAAGAAAAGATCTATTTATAGATACCTTGCTTGGAGGTCTACCAATACATTTGTCTTTTGATTTAGTTTAGTCATATGATGACTATGGCTTATACTTCCTTGTTGCTACTACAAAGATAATTTGTACACTTTCTTAAGATAGTAGTTTCAAAAATACAACAAAAAGTATTCCACTAACAGCACGTATAGTAAGTAACATATAATAGCATGTAAATATAAGCACTGATGTATATCATTACACCCTTCCATGTTCTAAATTTAATGCAAACAGTACACGTATTGAATACAGTGAAACACAATATATGGCATGTAAACAGAAGTGTGATTCAACAGGTATCAATAAACTACAAGATACACACAGGAATAAGATAAAGCATTTCCAAATGATAAAGAGATCGGTTAATTGAGTACCTGGTGCAGAAATATTTCTGGCTGGAGTTTGAGATCTGGAGCCAGATTCCGCGCTCATTCTCGTTTCTTCGTCTATCACCTGTACAGTGGATACATTTTCATGTTTTCCAGTCGCTTCTGGTGGTCGTTTCGATGACGGTGTCAACCAGTTCTGATGTCCTGGAGGTACTAGCATATCTTTATTTTCAGGCTTCGTATTCTCCGCTGTCTTATCTGATTTTTCGTCAGAAGTCTGTTTCAATACGGTTTTCTGCATTCTTTCAGGAGCTACCTCTGCCAACTTCTTATCTTTAATATTATCTTTAGACTCGCTCGTCACCGGTTTAGGCATAATATTCGTAGAATCCAAATGTACTTCTGATATCACCTTCGTTTCTACTTGCACATTTGTAGAGTCTGGAAGTATACTATGCGATACATTTACATTCATAGACGCATCATTCTTTTGTCCTGCACCTTTTTTCTCAATTTTGACTGCAGAATTGAGTTTAGCATCTACCGCCGGTTGTTTGAGAACTTTGTACAATTCTGGTGATTTCCCGGAGGCTTCCTCTGGTACAGAAGGACAGTCAATTGTTATTACAGCAGTAGTTGACGCTTCTATTGCAGTTAAGTCTTGTTCTATTCTAGGCTTCTTTCCTATCTGTACATCTGCACCATCCAATTTTCTTTTTCCTCGACCTATAGGAGAAAAAGGTGGATGAAATCATTACAATTCATTCAAACTTAAATCCTATAAAGTATACAAACCTCGTCCTCTGCCTCTCTTAGGGGGTGCATAACTCTTTTGACTTCTACACGTTCTCTTAGGCCTCTCATTCTCTCTAGATTCCATTTGTGGAGCTTGCAAGTGTTGCATTTGTTGCGTTTCATCTAAAGATAATGGATCCCTAGACATCAACATATGTGGAGGAGGATGGACAGTTGGTTGGACTAATGGATTTCTCCTAGGTCTGCCCCTCTTTTTAGGAACCTTCACCTCTGGAAGCCTCGTAGGTGAAACTTCTTCTATGATCATAACATCTTGGCTAGAATTTGAATTTTCATTCACTATAATCAGTTCCGGCCGATGTTCGATAATCTCACAGTCAGAATTCATAGGAGAACTGGTGGAATTTTTAATTAAAATATCTTTAAGCTTATCACTCATTGACGTGTCTTGTGGTTTCGACGGTCTGACCTGTGTAATACTAATCTCCTGACTTATTACATTCATCTGTTGAAGACTAATCGAGCTAGATTTTGGATCAAACATGAACTGCTTCTGATTTCTAGATGTAACTGGCTGAATGGTAACCTCAGGTAAGATTTGAGTCAATTGAGTTTCTATTTTTGACTTCTTGGACTCTATTGGTGCTACAGTGATATCCTTACGTTTAGGCGATATTTCTATTATACTGTCCGGCTTTTTCCCTTGCATTTGAACTGGTTCAATTGTTAATTCAGACCGGTTACTTTGCAGGATTGATGAGTGTCCAGTTTTAAGAAACTTCAATGTAGTCTCTTTGTGAGTTTGCGTTTGTTCTTTATACCTTTGAACAAAACCATGCTGATCTACAGCTTCTTTTGCCCGATAGGTAGTCTCTCCATGATTGTCGCAAGCAACAATTGTAGGATGTCCAGTTTTGGATAATTTGATTTTCATTTCTAAGGGTGATTCGGTGTCTCGACGTCTTTGCTGCCTTTCCTTTTTCTCTGGATCTACTATGGAAGCATCGCCTGTTTTTAACAGTTTAATCTTCATTCCTAAAGCAGCGTCAGCCACTTTAGAGTGTTCTGTATCGGAAGCACGCGATGGTTTATTAACATCTTCTGTAGTTATCTCTGACTGTATAATAGAAGCATCACCAGTTCTGGACAATTTGATTTTCATTCCAATAGGAGATTCTGTTCTCTTAGGTGTTTCTGGAAGGGAAGCTTTGCTTTCTTCCGGTTGTTCCTGTTTTTCTGTAGGTATGATAGATGGATCACCAAATTTAGAAAGTTTAATTTTCATACCAATCGGAGATTCAACTTTCTGCAAAGATTCTTGACTGATTTCCGACTCTTCTGAACATTCCTGTGCTATTACGGATATATCTCCTGACTTAATCACTTTTATTTTCATGCCTGATGAGTCTGACGTCTTTGACACATCTTGAGCCGCGTCCGGTTTCTCTTTGGCTTCCACTTTTTCCTTCAATTTAATGTCTTTACTCTCGTCAGATACTTCTGAGTGAACGATGGATGCGTCCCCACTCTTAGACAATTTGATCTTCATTCCAAGAGGTGATTCTGTTCGTTTAGGAATATCAGGAATTTCCAGTTTTTGGCTTGTATCTTCAGGAGTTTCCATTGGAATTATAGATGCCCCACCCTTCGTTTTCGCCAATTTAATTTTCATTCCAATCGGAGAATCAGTTCTCTTTGGAATTTCAGGTGGAGATTCTATCTTATCTTTCATCTTACTTTCTCTATTTTCTTCAGGCATGTCCGGAGAAACAATAGAGGCATCTCCAGTCTTAGACAACTTGATCTTCATTCCAATAGGTGAATCTGTTCTTTTTGGAGAGTCATAAGAAGCTTCCTTTGGTTTCATCTGTGTTTCTCTATGTTCCTCTGAAGTATCTTGCCTCTCAGTTTGTATTATTGAAACATCTCCACTTTTCGAAAGTTTGATTTTCATTCCTATCGGAGATTCTGTCCTTTTAGGACTTCCTTGAACCATATCCAGCTTGTCTTTATGTTTTATTTGCATGTCTTTCGTATCCTGTTGCACTATAGAGGCATCTCCACTCTTTGATAACTTAATCTTCATCCCAATTGGTGATTCAGTTCTCTTGATTTCCTCAAATTTATGTTTCCCTTCTTTTGAATCCTCGCTAAATTCATGCTTATCAGACGAGACAATGGAAGCATCACCAGATTTTGATAATTTAATTTTCATGCCAATGGGTGATAAGGATAAAGTTCCTTCTGAATACCATTGCCCAACTTCTTCAATGTTCTCATTAGATATTATAGAAGGGTGACCACCTTTCGATAATTTTAATTTTATTTTCCCTAATTTCTGACCTGGACTATCCTCGGGATTCGGTGAATTAGTTGCAGATCTGATCTTCGGGCTTTTAGGTGATCTAGGTTCTGCACAATCAGCAATTGCAGATTTGGCAATCTTTAATATGATCCTCGGAGACCCGACATTTTCAAAGTCATGTTTCTCTGAGTCTTTACGTGGTGTTTCCATAATCTTCGGTTCCGTTTTCTCAGACAATTTTGGTGATTCCAACATTTTTTGAAAGGCGATTAATTTTGCATCTTTCTGAATTAAAAGACTGTCTTTAGAAGCGGTTGGGGACATGGTAACTTTTGTTACATCTGTTGATGGTATTTCGATTTTAGGAGGTTCTTTAAGGCGTTCTTCTAAGATTGATACCTTAGGGATAATTTCAGATGTTTTTAAGGGCAGGGCATGTAATGTTTCAGGTATCTTTTCCTTTGTAAACGCCGATGTTTGTTGTATCTTTACGTTCTGCAATGACACTGAATCAAATTTGACCTCAGATTCAGACAATTTTATTTCCTCTTCTTCTATTGTCAATTTCTCTTCAGTTACATCAAACTTTCCTCGCGAAGCATCAAGTTTCACCTGCTCCGCCAGTTTTTTTTCACTCTCCAACTTTGCAGCCTCAGATATAATTTCAGCCTCAGAGATAGAAATGGAATCAGTCGCAATATTCTGAAGTTCTTCTACCAACTCTGTATCTTCACACATATCTTCGTCAGGAACGAAAAGAGCTGCAGCCTCTGTTTCTTTTGAAATACCATCTACAACTCTCTCTACCATTTTTGGGGAAAGTATTAATGGAGAATCGATAGCTTGTTCTTCGGACTCTTGAAGAAACTTAACTGCTGATTCGAGTTCGGATATTTCAGAACTAGGTTGCGACGTTTCTATGGTTGGTGCGTTGTTCAAGTTTTCAGAGTTATCTTCGTTTGCTAGTAACATGTCTGAGTCCAAATCCAATTTAGTTTCAGTTTCTTCTAGCTCGTCTGCAGTCCCCAATGGAGCCTCTTCAAATTCCATATCTAATTCATTCTCTGGCAAATCAGAGCCTGATTCTAGTGCCTTCTGTAAATTCTGTATAGTATTACTTGGACTTATGGATTCAGAAATAGTACTCTCCTTTACTTTCAATATGCTACTTGCCTCCAAATTTTCAACTTTGTCATCAGAGGTTTCTGTTAAATCAGTAGTTTTTGTAGTTTCTTGTATTGATACAGTATCATTGCCTGTTAAACAACTACTAATGACGTCCGTTATATAATCCGAAGCTTGTTCCATATCAGCAGCCTGATTAGATTGTTCTAACAATAAGCCCATATCCACATCTTTTGACAACCTCTCTTGTTCTTGGAGTGGTTTTTCTGGTTCTACTGTTTTCAGTGTAGAATCTTCCCTTTCCTGTATTAGATCTAGGCCCAGTAAACCTTCTAAAGAATCTATATTTTGCGTGGAAATTGAATCCTGCATTTCTTTGTTGATAATGCTTTCTGAAGTCTCTGGTAGTTTTTCAGTTAATTCATCAATTGCAGTCTCTACTAAAGGCAAATTTGCAGACTCTTCTAAAACTTTCACTATTTCATTTGACGTATCTGTTTCTGTAGTTAAAATATTTTTAAAGTCAGTTGCACTTCTGACATCATCTAAAATACTTGTAACAATATCTTCTGTGTTATCGTTTTGTTCTTCAGAGAACATTTCTTCTACAGTAGTAGCAGAATCTAATATATCTTTAAAATTGTTTCCATCAGCATCACTTTTCAAATTATTACTTTCTACCTGTTCTTTATGCTGTATGTTTTTATTTAGCACGGAATCATCAATGTTATCTAAGTTTCTGACTTCTTTTACAGTTTTACTTAAGCTATCATATTTTTCTATTTCCAGTAACCCTCCTGTACTAGCATCTTCCTTTTCTAAGGCATAAGTTTGTTCATCTTCTTTGTTATCATCGCCTACATTACTTTCTTCCACTTTCTGCTCAAAATTGTCTTGATATATAGCTGTTTGTGATTCAGTTTCCTCTGGTTCTAAAGTTAGATTCATTTCTTCTTCTGTATCTTCATCTTCTGCGTGTTCTTCAGATACTACTGGTTCTGTTGATGATAATAAAAATAAATCCTTTGAAATGGAATTTGAATCAAAATCTTTAGTTTCAGTTTTCTCCATATCTACATTAGTTTCTACTGTACCTTTTACATGCAACTGTTTAGACTCTTCCATATTTTCCTCAAGTTCTTTATAATTTTCTTCTGGTATTTTTAAATCACTTGTCTCACACTCCATTGTTTCTTCTTGTTGTAAAACAATTTTAGGAGAAAAATTTTCCTTATTTTCAATTATTGTATCTGTACTTTCTTCAGAAAGTTTTAGATCCTTTGATTCTGTACACTCCTGGAAAACTTCAATTTCATTTACAGTTTCTTCAGCTTCATTCTTCTTGGTTTCTTCAATATTTTGAACTTCTGTTAGTCCTTCTTTAGTCTCTAACATTTCTGTTACATTTTGCTCATCAAGAATAAATTTATTAATTGGCAATGGTTCTGTCTTAATTACTTCTAATTCTTCTTTCTCTTTGTAATTATTTGCCTCTGTTGCATCAATTTTGACTTCACAATTGTCTTCTGTAGTATTAGTATTTAGAGGAGTTGTAATGTCTGAAATTGCTTCTGATTGTACTGTAAGATCTTCATTTACTTCCATTACCATTTGTACTTCAATCAATGAAGTTGTATCAGACTTTTGTGATACACACATTTCTACTTCATCTTTGATTGTTGTCTCTGAAACTGGCAATTCTATTGCTTCTTCAGATTCAACAAGAGATTCCTTTATTACAACCTCAGGTAACATATGATCCAGATTATTATCACCTTGAATTTCCATGTCTGTATTTATTTCTAGTTTTTCAACATTCACAGTGTCACTAGTTATACTCACAGATTGTGAAGGTAATTCTACATTAGTCTCTAATTCTAATTTAGAAGTTTCATTGGAAGTTGCAACATTCTGATTATTTTCTATAGGAAGTAATTCTTTAAAAGATGACTCCTCAGAACCTTCTTGTTCTTTATCTAGAATTTTCAACTGTTTAGCATCTAGTTCTTCTGTAGTCTCTAATTGTTTAGTATCTACTACTTCTGTTGTAGTTTCTAATTGTTCAGTATCTATTATTCCTTTTGTAGTTTCTAATTGATTAATATCTATTTCTTCTGTACCTTCTAAATGCTTAATGTCTATGTCTTCCTCAGTTTTTAATTGTTCAATATCCATTACTTCTGCAATTTCCAATGGTTTGGTATCACTTTCTTTTGAAGTACTTAATGTTTCAGTATTCAATTCTTCCACAGTTTCCGATTTTTCACTATTTATTTTCTCTGTAGTTTCTGAGTTTTCAACATCCATTTCTTCTTCAATTTTAAACTTTTCAATATTTATTTCCTTTGTAGTTTCCAATTGGTTAGTATCCTCTTTATCTGTAATTTCTAATTGCTTAATATCCATTTCTTCTGTAGTTCCCAATTTTTTAATATCTATTTCTTCTGTAGTCTCCAGTTTCTCCATGTTTATTTCTTCTGAATTCTCCAGTTTCTCCATGTTTATTTCTTCTGAATTCTCCAGTTTCTCCATGTTTATTTCTTCTGAATTCTCCAGTTTTTCCATATTTACTTCTTCTGAATTCTTCAGTTTTTCCATATTTATTTCTTCTGAATTCTCCAGTTTCTCCATATTTATTTCTTCTGTATTCTCCAGTTTCTCCATATTTATTTCTTCTGTAGTTTCTACATTCTTCATATTTATTTCTTCTGTAGTTTTTACATTCTCCATATTTATTTCTTTTGTAGTTTTTACATTCTCCATATTTATTTCTTCTGTAGTTTTTACATTCTCCATATTTATTTCTTCTGTAGTTTCTAGTTTCTCAATACTTATTTCTTCTGCAGTTTCCTGTTCCTCAGTATTTATTTCTTCTGCAGATTCCTGTTTCTCAGTATTCATTTCTTCTGCAGATTCCTGTTTCTCAGTATTCATTTCTTCTGCAGATTCCTGTTTCTCAGTATTCATTTCTTCTGCAGTTTCCTGTTTCTCAGTACTTATTTCTTCTGCAGTTTCCTGTTTCTCAGTACTTATTTCTTCTGCAGTTTCCTGTTTCTTAGTACTTATTTCTTCTGCAGTTTCCTGTTTCTCAGTACTTATTTCTTCTGCAATTTCCTGTTTCTCCATAATTGTTTCTTCTGCAATTTCTATTTTTTCAATATTCATTTCTTCTGCAATTCCCCCTTGTTTAATATCCATTTTTTCTATTGTTTCCAACTTCTCAATAATTATTTCTTCTGTAGTTTTCATTTTTCCGGTATTTGTATCATTTGTAGCTTCCAATTCTTCAATATTTGTTTCTTTAGTATCTTCCAAGTTTTCAATATTCATTTCTTCTGCATTTTCCAATTGCTTAACTTCAATTCCTTCTGTAGTAGTTTCCAGTTTCTTAGTATTTATTTCTTCCATAGTACTTAATTCTTCACTATTTATTTTATCTGTTTCCTCTAGTACTTGTGCAGCATCAGTCTTATTTTCCATTACCTCTGTATTATCATTGATACAAGGTATATTAGAAGATTCAATTGTATTAGGGTTTATTATATTTTCTGATTTAAATTGTGCAAGTTCTATTTTTTCTTTATCATCCCTTTGAGTAGTTTCTGCAATACCCATATTTATTTTGTCACACTCTGTTGAACTTAATATTGTAAAATTTTCATTACTGGTAGTACCAGAAGCTAACACATTTGTATCCTCATCCTCTTCTTGATTTACTTCAGTTTTATTTACTACAAGTTCTTCATTCTTGTCCCTTTTTTCTTCTAAATCCATGCATTCCTCACTTTTACCCTCTTTTTCTTCTACATCCATGGATTCTTCACTTTCTTGAATTTCTATATTGTCTGTTATTGCTTCTGTTTTAAGTTTTTCCATTGCCAAGCAATCCAGATCCTGATTAGATTCTGTGCTTTGTTTTATTTCCATTTCGGTGCATTCTACAATTGCATCTTCTTCTTTAACATTTTCATCAATTATCTTTCTTTCTTCCAATGCTTCTTCTTTAATTTCATCAACTTCCATAGCATCTATTGCTGTTTCTTCTGTTTCACATTCTAAAACAATATCTTTAGGTTTATCTACTGTACAGTCAGTATGAATTTCTATTTTGTCTGAAATGTTGGATACTTCCTCTGAATGAGAAGATTGTGTAAAACAGTTAGATAGATCCACTTCTACAACATTTGTATTATTTTCTATATTCTCAATAGGAATATCCTTGTCTGTACATGTCTCACCTAAATCTATAACATTAGATATTTCACTGGTATTATTTACAGCATTTTCTGATTCAAGGGATTCATGTGTCTCTTTTTTTTCTTCATTAGGGATTAAATTATTCACATTAACAGTACATGATGAATCTGTAACCATTGACTCAATATCATCCATTCTCATTTCTTGAGAGTCCTCTGAACTATAAGCTTCGCCAATGAGTTGTAAACTTCCACAAATACTGGTTTCATTTTCTATGACTTTTACATTAGTGTTTACATTTCCTTTATTCGCGGTAGTCTGTAAAATATGTTTATGTTTAGGTTGATTAATGTTAATATCTACTTTAAATGATACATCACTATTTTCATTATTCTTAGTATTAACAAGATCTACAGAATCTATTGATACACTATGTTCACAATTGTCTTTAGTATCATTACTTTCCTGTTGATTTTTAAGGTCCATATCCTTTATAAAAGTATCCTCCTTAATACTCTGAGAATCTTTGTCACTTGTTTGTTCCATATCACTTGTACTTTTTACTTCGTCAACATCAGAAGTTTCTATACTATCCAATGTTGACTTTAGATATTGCTGTGTGTCAGATGTCTGAATCGGGTTTATGCTTTTACTCTTAAAGTCTTCTCGGTTCTTGGATATACTTTCCTGTTGCATGTCGGATTGGTCTTCTATTACATTCTGCCCGACATCGGATTTAGATTCTGTGATAATCTGAGACAGAGCAGCGATTTCGCTTTCCAAGGTAGAATCACTGACTGGTTCTGACTGAACACCAATAATATCATTGATATCCATAATACTTAGTGCTTCTGTGTCATATGTCTCAGAATCACTATCAATACAATAGGGTGCATAACGGTCAGGTGAGTCGTCCTTGACTTCTGTTTTTCCTTCCTTTGTCTTGTCTTTAGAGCCAAACAGGCCCATCTTAGGACTCTCAGACATTGTTTTGATGTTTGGCATAGGGCGCGTTAAACCTGTGGTCACGGCCTCGCTTTTCCTTCGCCGTTTCTATGTGAGCATTGAATCTAATGACACACACATGAACTTTACGCTTTTCGACTTCTTGAACCCTGTGTCTCCTCGACTGCCATTGTATCATCGTACCCCGTAACTCTTCCGTATGTAGAGTTCAACTTCATTTGTTTTCACTGCGTACTCGCATACATAACCAAACGTTCCCTCCAACACGGCCTTGTATCGATTTCTACGAATCGAATCCACGGATTTTTCCCAAAAACGCTTTTCTTTCGCAACAAATACCGTTCGTGGTCAACCTAACCTACAGCTTCGCTAATTTTTCGATGTTTTTAAAATACATTTTGTCAGAATCGTCATTTCCTTAAACGACGCTCAGGCATCCAGATGCCCAGACGATAGTTCTTACTGTTCACCTCTTCCGAGCGTAACGGGGGCGTAAAGTTTAAAAGTGCACAGGGGCAAGGGGACTCTTCCACTCACGATGCTCGGGCCGCCTCGGCTTTCGACGCATGGTCATTATTGGTGCGCGGCAATATCAAAGGACGGAAAGCCAGATCGAATGCGATGAAGTGAGACGTAACGATAGAAAATGAAATCCTCTATAGTTCCGTCTCACTCTGTCGCATTCGCTCTCGCTTCTTTCCTTTGTTATTGCCGCGCGCCAATAATGGCCATGTGACGAAAACTAAGGCGGCCCGAGCATCTTCAGTGGAAGAGTTCCTCTGCCTGTGTGCACTTTTACTTTACACCCTGCTGCACTCGAAAGAAGAGGCGAACAGTACTTCCCTCTCCACCTACATATCCTTTTATATGTACCTATATGATACCTATTAGTGTGAAGCAATCACAGTGCTGCCACCCCTATCATAATATTATTTTGATTTGCTTAAAGATACGAACACAGAGATTAATTTCGTTTTACTCTGCATTTAATAAGTAAAAGACGGAAGAAAAGTAAAACTTCATATGTATATCTAAATATTTTATATACATTACATACTATAATGTTCTGACAAAATAACAATTATGTATAAACTTCAGTCAAATAAACAAACTTCAACCACTCATGTTTACAAACTTGTATTTGTATTTACAAATGTATCGCAGAATATTTGTTGGTAATTAGAAATATTTTAAAATTATTTTCAATTTAAAAACTATATGCAAAGGAAGTCATTTTATTGGTCGTGAAATATTCTTTGCATTCCTCTTTATGGTTCTAACTAATACTTGTAAATCCGTGTTCCGGTTTGTTTTCTGAGACTTGGCATCACTTTCCTGAAAGAATAGGAAAAACTTGAAATTAGATATTTATTAATGGACGAGGTGATGTGAAATAAATTCTGCTTACGTCCATAGGATCATCATCTGCTCTCCTTTTCAGTTTTTCTTTGATTAAAGCTTCGGTACCCTTAGTTTTTCTATAATGTGGATCTGCTGGATCAATATTATAATGATGCGATGTGAACAATGCATTGAATCTCGGATCTTGTACATTCACTTCAAAATTGTCCTCCTTTACTTGATTCTGACCATTTTTCTTTTTGCTGAGTCGCTTTTGTTTAGATTTCGACATCGTGGCATTTTCTTCAATTTTCTTCATATTAAAATGTTGTTTACCATCGCTTTGATCTTCATCCATTAAAAGAAGTTCCAATTCGGCTTTACGCTTCTCATCATTGTCACTATCTTCCGATAAAGATACATTACTATTTTCCATTTTCTTCTTTCCGTACGATGATGATTTATTGTTTGCAGCTTGACCGTCGCTTTCACTAGCATCCGAATCAAGCCCTTCAGAATTTGAAGACGCATCTTTATCTCTGCGTTTCTTTCGCTCTTGCTTTTTAGCTTTCTTTTTCTCTTTACGTTTCTCTAAGTACTGTTCAAATGGCGTTAGGTTTTCAGTTTTCTTCATTTTCTCCTTTACTAGTTTTTCTGCCTTCTCTTTGGTTCCTAACCCCCACGTGAATTCTAGTTCAACCTCTTTATTTTGCTTTGCTTCCTCCTTTTCTTCTATTTCTCTTAGCAGAGCTTTATACTTTTCAATGGGATCAGCATTTGTCTCCGTATCAGAGTCTTTTTGATCTTCTGGGACTTCCTCCTTCTTTTCCACGTCTTCTTGTATTAATAAAAAGTATGAAGTGAAAGTATTATTATAAATATCAGATAAGCAAAAAATTAAAAAAGCAGTATACCTTCTTCTTCGTCACTCGAATCGGTAGCTAAATAAGCGTGCAAATCTTTTTCATTAATATTATCTAGTTTTCCAGAATTTAATTTCTGTGCAATCTCCATCCTTTCTGGATTGGTTTCATCCCATGTTAACTCTACTTTAACCTGCTGTAAAGCTGTTGTAGTAAACTGCCTTGGTTCATACTTGGAAAGTTGTGGCATTTCATTGCAAACTTCTTTAGGAGTCTTAAAATAAACATTTAAGGTTACATATAATAAATATATATATATATATATATATATATATATATATATATATATTTATAATATGCTTAAAGGCTAAATAGTATATACCTGATCAAATTCTGTATCATCCGATATAAATCTGAGGTCCAACTTTGTTGCTGTAGATTCATATTCTGTACCATCACACTCCATGTAAATTTTATTTGCTGTTTCAGCTGAATCGAACTCAACAACTGCATAATAATACTTTAATCTATTTAATTGATACTGCCTTAATTTTTCCATGTGATATGCTGATCCTTCTTCATCCTACAAAGTTACAAGATTAAAAGTATTGTTTACAATGATAATATTAAATTATTCTTTGTATACTTAAATTTATGGGAACGATTCATACTTCATTTTCATCATCAAAATCTTTTTTCTTATTCTCTTCTATTAATTCCTTTGGGCCAGTAATCTCTTCTTCTTTCATACGTTGCAAACCAAACTCTGATGGATAAATCTGTAATTACTTTCTATAAGTATTCATTCAGATACTCACTTTTATTTTTTATCGATTAGTCTTACCTTAACTGAGTGAATAATACCTCCACTTGGTAGAAATGAATTGAATAAGACCATTAAATCTACAGCACGTATTCTATCCCAGTCCATATTACATACCGCTAATCTGTGTGTAATATCATCTGTTGTATCAGCTTCTTTGTCTAATTCACCCCATTTATGCTCAATTTCTTCTTCATCTAATTTAAACATACATTATCAACTCTCATGTAAAAATATTCAATTCACTATTAAGAGTATTGACCACGTATAATATTATATAATGTTACCTGAAATCTCTGCATCATCATCATCTTCATCATCATCATCAGAAGAACTATCTGTCATTAAAACTCCTTCACCCCTAGCATAGTTTACACTTAAATCTCTCAATTTATTTTTAACTTTATCTGAGAGTTTGTTGGATTCGTTCTCCTTTTTAATATACAATTGTTTTTTACTTTCTTCCAAGTCTGCTTTTAAGGTATTTTCATTTGATATGCTTTCATCATTAGATTCAGATTCAGATTCACTTTCAGATTCTTTGGATTCTTCAGAATCTTTAACAGATTCTTTTGGCTTAATTCTAAGTAATTCTCCATTACTTGAATAACAATTATCCGATGAATCACTATTCTCATCTGCATCTTTGTTGTTCATATCATTCTTTTCATAGTTGATATCTTTTGATTTTAGGTTCTGAAGACTTTTGTTTTTATTCTTTTTCTTTTTAGATTTTTCCTTTTCAGCTTTCTCTTTCTTTTTAACCAAAGCAGTTTTATTTATTTCTTTTTCTACTTCTTCTTCTTCTTCTTCTTCTTCTTCATCACTGCTAGATAAGTCATAATATTTCTTTAGATTCTCTGATGATGTTTGACTTATAGGTCTGCCTCGCTTGTCAATGGTATATTGAACAGCAAATTTTTTATCCTTAAACATGCCCTGAAATCTTTTATCTATTTTTACTTTCCGTTCTGTCTTCGGAATCCTTTTAAATTTAGGATCTTTTGCAATGAAGGCAAATCGTGTATCATTTAGTAATGCATCCATTCTAGAACATGTAAATAAAAGCATAAATATTGTACTATTACGCAATTAAATATATTTATTAATTACCTGAAATATGTTTGTCCAATAACTACTACAGTATTATTTATAATCGACAGCACTTAATTACACAATATCAATAAGGAAAATCACTTTTCCTCAGACACACGTGTTTAACTGATGCACATCCTTCATGTAGAGTAACAGTAAGATTAACAAGAATTTAAAACTACTGCCATCTATACTTCGTTTCAAGAAGTATGGGCCAGAGTAAACAGAGCATGGTGTTTTATTCACACCTGTAGATAAAATGCTACTCGCTCAGTGACAGAATGTAGGGAAGATGTTTTGGGAACTGTAAAACATCCAAAACATCGAAATCTGAGAGCTTTTTTAGTATGAGCCACTAGACAAAGAGACCGTTCGAGCTTTTGAGCCATTTCTGGTGCGTTAATCACCCAGAATTTCGAAAACCGAGAGCTTTTTTAGTATGAGCCACTAGGGCAAAGAGACCCTCGAGCTTTTGAGCCATTTTCTGGGCGTTAATCACCCAGAATTTCGAAAACCGAGAGCTTTTTTAGTATGAGCCACTAGGCAAAGAGACCCTCGAGCTTTTGAGCCATTTTGGGGGTTAATCACCCAGAATTTCGAAAACCGAGAGCTTTTTTAGTATGAGCCACTAGGCAAAGAGACCCTCGAGCTTTTGAGCCATTTCTGGGCGTTAATCACCCAGAATTTCGAAAAAGCGAGAGCTGTTTTAGTATGAGCCACACACGATAGGTGAGCTGTAGAGCTTTTGAGCCGTTTTTTCTAAGACCGCAAAACATCAAATACCTTGAAAATCCACGAGCCTCTTTAGTTTGAGCGACGCGACAAGAGACCATCTGGCTTTTGAGCCATTTCTGAAACTGTAAATCATCGAGCACCCGTGATTCGAGAGCTTTTTTGGTTTGAGCAATACGCAAGATACCATTCGAGCTTTTGAGGCATTTCTGGAACCGTAAATCACCCAGAATTACGTGATCCTTTGCAAATTATAGAATACTATAAAGAATATAATGTGAACATTATAATTAATAGTTGATTGTCGTACATATAATAAATATTTTATGCATAAAACGGAATAGTTGTGTCTAATGTATAAAAGGCTATTAAGATAATGACCGGGAAAGATGCTTTTTAAAAATACCGGTATCTTATCCATGATTGGTAGCGCCACCTATTGCAGCGTCAGTGAAACTTCTAGCTAAATAGTATCGGCTGGTGTCTACTTGGTACTGCTACCGACAGTGGCTAACGTAAGCAAAGAAAGGTACCGATCGGTAAGAAGGACAGACATTCTTGATTCGTTGCGCCATCTCGCGGATTGAATGTGGCACTATTTGGCTAGAAGTTTGAGCAATACTTTCATAGGTGGCGCCACCGGATTTATAATTGATTCGTTGCGCCATCTCGCGGATTGAGTGTGGCACTATTTGGCTAGAAGTTTGAGCAATACCTTCATAGGTGGCGCCACCGGCTTTATAATTGATTCGTTGCGCCATCTCGCGGATTGAATGTGGCACTATTTGGCTAGAAGTTTGAGCAATACTTTCATAGGTGGCGCCACCAAACTTGTTTAAAGAAGTGGGGGGTTTTTCAAATTATGTTATTAAAAATTATTGGTGATTTTTTAATTTTATATTCCATAAATTAGAATTATGGTTGATGAAGCGTCGTTGAGAGGCAGGTGTAAATAATTATACAAATTTATTGTTTACCAAATGCTGATATCCGGACTTTATTGAACGTTTACAACGTTTTTTATATTAAAAATTTACAGTTCTTGAGATTAACGATGAATTGGAATTGGCCCATAGTTCCGTCCTGGAAAGAGATAAAGGAAATTAAATTGAAAATGTTTCGACGCACTCATTTTTCGCTATAAGCTCGCATTTGAAGTACACACTTACTTGAGTGGATGGTTTCGTAGTTGTCATGCTGGATAGAAGGAAAAATGGCGGACGAGAATGAGGATCAGTGGTTATACGGGGACTCAACTGATGGAAAAGAGTACACGCCAATATCCGTTCAACCGGAGAGTCAAGAAAATGATTCGACAGCTATTACGGCCGAAGAAAAATCGGAAAATTTGGATGATCAAAAGACAGAAACAGCTCCTGACCCAACATCAGAGGTACGCTATCCCTAACCTGTATATCTAATTGTTGTTGCCGGATTTAATTATAATAAAATGGATTGGGAAGGATTTCGATTCAGAGATGCACGAGTCTTGCTTATACTGGTTGCAGATATTAATTTTTTAGAGAAGAAATGCACTTATTTGACCTTATTTAATCGCGTCGTTTCTCGGTTGACATAACCTCGTACGCATGTAAACTATGCAACACCGTATGCTGTATTGTAAATGTCACTGCCGTTTTAACAGGTACCCGAAGAGGTAGAACCACAAGAAGAAGAATCACCTTCGAACGATAATATACAAAATGATAGCAATACAGAAGTAACTAAAAATGGCATAAGAGAACCATCCAGTCAAGAGGATGGAGAAGCAGCCAGTGATTCAGATTCCGACGATGACGTCCACGTTGTCATTGGTGATATTAAATCTACTCCTGCGTACGGTAGCCTTAACATTAAAAGAGGAGGATTACTCACGAATGCATCCGGAGTACCAGACAAATTAAATAAACAGCCCGGGAAATTTAGTATAGATGAATTTGAAACAATAGGAGTTATTAATGGTATGCCAGCACACGAATTCAATTTAGATCAGTTGGAGGATAAACCTTGGAGACAGCCTGGTGCAGATATCACAGATTATTTTAATTACGGTTTCAACGAGGAAACGTGGAGAGCGTACTGCGAAAGACAGAAAAGAATGAGAAGCGAATCCGGTGTAGGTTTAATATTGAATGCGGGAGGAGGAGGAGGTGGGAGTGCGGGCAGTATGAGAGTACCTCAAGTGGCAATCACTAACGATAATAGTAAATATTCCGGTATAATGGGACCTAAAAGAGCTGGACCGCCTCCAGGGAGGAAAATGGCAGGAACGATAGATGTAATTGGTAGTTCGGGTTTAGCTTCTAGAAGAAACCTCGACAAATCCCCGCCCAAAGGAAATGTGATACAAGTAATGACCGCGGACAGGAGGGAGTATTCGAGAAAACCAGGTTTCCCTGATATGAGTGTGCCACCGCCAGGCGCTGGAATGCCTCCTGCGTTTGACATGCCTCCTCCTGGATACCCTGGAGAACCAGCTCCTTTCTACATGCCAGAAACGGACCCGTATTATCAAAGTTACGAACCCACGCAGGACAATCAATGGGGCAACGATCCTGTAAGTGAAACTCTATGCTTCTTACCCTTTAATACTCCTTGCAAGATGAACTTCGAATCCTAAAATTATTTGTTTTAGACCTGGCAGCCGACGAATTTAGCTATTCCAATGACAGAGGGAGAGGACGACAAGGACACTGGCCCGAAAACCATACCCACCATGGTACCACCCACGAATATCCCACCTCTGATACCACCCAGAGACTCCAGGGACCGCGAGAGAGATCGGGAAAGAGAACGAGATCGAGACAGAGAACTGGACTCCATGGGAAGGGACAGGGAACGAGACAAGGAGAGGGACCGAGACCGCGAGAGAGAGAAAGATTCCATGATCCGCGAGCGGGACAGAGAAAGGGACTCGATGTCGCGCGACGAGGAGAGGGATCGCGACAGGTCTCGTTCCCAGTATCGTCACAAAGACCGGTAATAAAGCGGTGCAGCGTTAAGAAATAAGGCGATGTCGGTACATAAAATATTGCTACTTGAACAGTAAATCCATTTATCGTTCCCTTTTCGTTTACTTATCGCATTATTTCTCGGCAATTTTATCACCCCGCATTCAATCTGTACGCACGTCCCGCAACTGATAATCGTCTCCGTTCGTTTCAGGCATCGGCACCGATCGCGGTCACGATCCCGCAGGCATAAATCCCGATCCAGAAGTCCGAGTCGGCGTAAGAAGAAATCGCGACGCTCCGAAAGGGAGCGTTCCAAGGAAGAAAGTGAATAAAGAACATGAGAGTTACATCTCTGTATTTCGTCTACGGATATCGACGGCCATATTGGCCCACCGGACACACCAGACGTCGAATCTTTTACTAATGGAAATTCGTCCCTCGTTATCATTGGCAACACACCTACACATCGGTACGATTGTCCTCGATTTGCTTCTGATTTTCTGGCTCACGTCGTGTATACAGTTTCCAGCCGAGAAATCAATTATCAACAACAAGAACAGCAACAACAATAAACTTTATCTTTAACGACAACGAGATGTTTCTTTCTTTATGTCATATTAGGAAATTTGAAGTAAGCTTTTAAATGAATCTGTACGTTACACGAAGCCTTCGAGAAACGCAATCAAGAGCGGGAACAGGTTACCAAAGCCACCCCAGTATTGCCATTCAATGTATGGTTTTATATCATAATGTTATTACAGAAACGGTACTTTATAATAATTAAAAGTAATAGCAGTTTATTGGTAAATCGCTCATGGGTGAATCATTCAATCGATGTCGATCGACACGCACACACGTGTGTTCTTCTTTAATTGTCCGTTTCCCATTAATCCCGTTTTCATAAAATTCCAATTGTACCTCGTTTCTTATCTCCTCGCATCGAACGTTACCGCTGCTTTTTCTCGTTTACCGTTTTAACATCATACACAATGGAAAAAAATGTTACATTTGTACAGCCATCATATACATATTACATTTAGAATACCGTTAATTCACTATTAATTTGTTGCTCGAGTATGCGGAGATGTCGTGTAATCCTGACGCGTTCGATTTCTCTACAGACGTGTCTAATCAGGACTGACTGCCAATTAACTTGGATGCTCGACGCGATAATAAATAAGACCCGGCTAAGTAGGCGTTCCTCTTCTATGTAGAAAAAAGAAAAAAGACGAAACACGGGGACACGGAAAGTTTACAGATAACGTCACTTAACAGTATGAATTATACACGCGGTAGCTTGCTACGAAACGACTAACATATACAGAGTGATTCGGAAAGATACGACTTAAGATTCACGAGTGATTAGATAAAACCAAGCTAGATCTACTCTAAAGAAAATCTTGATACCTGTATAAAAACATCGTTTAAAGTCTACTCGTCAAGGTAAGTAAATCTCTGTTCTAAAGCACAGTGTCCCAACTATAGTTGCTAAAACATGAAAACCGACAATGATTTCGAATCATTCTGTAATCGGATCAACTTGAAGTCTTTAACCCTTTGCACTAGAGAGGTGACTCTCATTTGGTTTCATACAGTAATATAAAATTTGATATTTAATATTATACTTTGTGCATCAATTTGGGAAATATTGAAATAATAGCTTTGTTCCTCAATGTAAAAAATATCGTCCTTATCTCGTCAGAAGATGTTAAAATATTTCTAATGAAAAATATCCGAGTGCAAAGGGTTAATTCCTTCGACTTTTGTAAAGAGATGCGACACTTGCTTAGTAATTTTCGATAAACGAAAGAAAAGCGGATAGGGACGATAATTAAAAACCAGAATGAAAAATGACCGAAGCGAAAACGTGGATCCAAAGAGCGAGAAGCTGTGCGATGCTGTGAAAAAGAAAATGGGGGATTTCCATCGGTTTTCCGCACGCTGTTGTACTTTCATCCCTGATCTCTCTCTCTCTCTCTCTCTCTTTCTCTCTCTCTGTGCGACGTTGTTTCCCCGTTTGTTTGTTAATAATTCGTTTTATTTAGTAATAAGTTATATCACGACATCCTCCTTTTCACATTATATACTCAGATTCAAAAATCCATTTTATTAACGTTCTAGAAAATATGAAATACAATCGACAAAGACGCTAATTAGTATATATAATAATACCGTAACGACGCGTTATCGTTCCTGGGAATAGTTTTACAATACATATATAATCGGCGGAAAAAACGCATTTCGCGTGTCGGCGTCGACAGAACGTACAAACGTAGAAGCCGGAGAAAACGGAAAACTCTTTGGACCTGGGCAATGTTTCAACTGCCTACCACCACGAGTCGAAAAGAAAACTGTTTGCGTGTTCTGTTATTTATCTAATTTCATATTACCTCTTTTGTATTCTGCTTTAAACTCTTGTCGAATTGTGTGTTCCCTCTCTCTCTTTATTTCTCTTTATTTCTGTTGATCAAACTGGCGAACGAAACGAACAATCGGGGGAGCGAATGTTTCGACGCGACGAAAATCTGCACGCGGACTGCAACGGAAAGTCGAAAGGTCTCGAGAACGAGGGGCTGGGAAAGCACGACATTAATACGGTAACAATGTTTTCTTCGCCTTCCATCGAGCTTTCGCGCGCGCGCGCCAGTAAAAAGTGTTTCCCGTTCGCGAGTTTTTTTGCGGTTTTCTTTTTGCTCTGTTTCTTCGAAAATCCCGGTCACGATTTCGGCCATCGTTCCCAAGGTCTGCGGCTATTTTAAAAAAATCTACGTTCTTCGCAATTCATTTTATTCTCCCGGGTTTACCGTAAACTGTGTGTCTGTATGTGTGTGTGTGTGTAAAGCGTGTGTACGTG